TGCCTCCCACAGCAAAGCGGTGACTGGCTTCCAATGATCCCACATTGCCTTCTCCTCTATCTTCTCAATCCCTTTCCCCAGCTATGGCTTCCCTCTCAGCCAAGCTATCTCTTCCCAGGACAACTGCCACAGCCACCTGCCTGTGCTTTTAGCACCACTTCCACTTGGCAAAGGGACCCGTGGAAATGCGCCGAATCCAAATGACATCAGCTCCCTGGGACGGGACTGGAAATCAAACCAGAGGCCAGGCCCCACACTCTCAGTCTGCAGGAGCAAAGGAGGATTAGAAAAATGAACAGCATTCCCTGACCCCTACTGAGTTCAGCTAGAAGTGCAATCCAAGCTGCACCCCGGCCCTGAACCACTTCCTCTGCTATGCATCAGAGTCTCATGGGTACAAGGCTGGGCATCCATTCCCTAGAGTCTAGAAGATGAATGAGGACCAACTGGGCCAGCAACAGTTCTGTAGGGCTGTGCAAGCAGAGGGTGACTCTCTCTCTCTCTAGAAACTGGCAACCAGGTACCTCCCTGCACGATGAGGTGTCCTGGCAGGGTGAGATCACACCCAGCTTGGTGTGACCGAAGTCACTCACCGTGGGATAAGTAGGTTTCTCAGAGGGAGTGTCCTAGGAGACACTGGAGGCCTCATCTACGTCTCACCCAATATCATTGATTTTCTATTACACAATAAGCATGGTAGAAAGGCTTATAGGTGTGAGGGCATGAAACTATTTCCCAGCCCACAGAGCAGGCACTGTTACTATGCCAGCTCCAGAGTCGAGGAGGTCAGCTGGGAGGGGCAGCCCAGAAACCCATTCTGCATTCATCTTGATAGCCTCAGTGTCTTCATTAGGATATAATTCAAATTTAAAGAAAAAATTTAAGTTTAATTTCCTTATAACTGTCATTAAGAGTCCCCAAATAGCTGGGCCATGGTGGTGCACGCTTTTAATCCCAGCACTCAGGAGGCAACTACAGAGTGAGTTCCTGGACAGTCAGGGCTACACAGGGAAACCCTCTCTTGAAAAAAAGGAGAAGAAGAAGAAGAAGTCCCCAAATATTGAAATCTGAGCAGATTTTGTTGTATTACAGTTCCTTCTATCGCTATTTTTGGTAAGGCTGTCATGAAAAAAGGTCACAGGTGGCTTCCTAGCTGAAACCCATTTCTCACCCCTTACACTAGAAGTCGACAACAAAGCTACAACAGGGTGGGTTTCTCCAGAGGCCTCATCTTCCCGGATCTTTCCCTGTGTGGGGCACGCCTGGCTCTCCCTGTGCGTCAACATTCCTACTTCTTCTAAAGACTGAAATCAGACCAAGTTAGCATCTACCTCATTTTAACCTACGCCTCTTTAAAACTTGCTGATATTCCTTTATTCAGAGGACACAGCACCCACAGGGCAGCTCACAGCCATCTGTAACTCCAGTACTGGGAATCTGATGTCTTGCCTGGTGCCTAAGGACACTACGGACATGTGGTACAAATAAACAGATGCAAATAAACATTCATGCACAATAAAATAAAATAAATATCTTTAAAAAAAACAGTTTTACTTCCAAATACAGTCGTGTTCGGAGGTGTCCGGTATCCTTCAATATCCACAATTTGATGACACAACTTAGCCCACACGTGATGTCTTAGAGCTTCCATTACAAGAATAAACACCATAATCAAAGCAACTTGGGGAGGGAAGGGTTTATCTCATCTTATAGCTTGTAGTTCATCATCCAGAGAAGTCAGGGCAGGAACTCAAGGCTGAGCCTTGGAGGCAGGAGCTGATGCAGAGGCCATGGAGCGGAGCTGCTTACTGGCTTGCTTCCCATGGTCTGCTCAGCCTGCTCTCTGGGACCACCAGCCAGGGACGGCACTGCCCACAGTGAGCTGCTGCTCCCCGCCTCCCACGTCAATCAAGAACATGCACTACAGGCTTGGCCACAGGCCAATCTGGTGAAGGCCTCTTTTCCGTAGAGGTTCCCTCTTTCCATTTGACTCCAGCTCGTGTCAAATTGACATAAAACTCCCTAGCAGAGACTGCACATATTTGTATCTGAACACCTTCAGAATAAACCAAAGACACGAGGCCCCTTTACCTAATACGTCATGAGTATTTTCTAAAGTCAAGAGCACTCTCCTACAGCTCGCAGAACAACTACCAGAAGGAGGAAATTGATCTGCTGGGCTTTGAGAATATAGTGTTGTCGGCTACAAGTTATCACTCTTCCTAATCCATCTGTTTGCCCCGCTGCTGGTTTACTAACTTGGATCCCTGGTGAAGGCCTGGCAAGTTCTTCCATGGTAGAGTTACTATTTTCCCTCTAGAGTTAATAATTAACTAGTTCAGGCCAATGAGAAAGCGCAGCGGATAAAAGCGCTTGCCGCGCGAGCCTGATGATCTGAGTTTGATCCTTGGGACCCACTGTGGAAGGAGAGAACTGACTTCTGAAAGTTGGCCTTCTGACATACACACACACACACATAATAAATAAAATAAAAACATAAAAATAATAGTTAATAGTCTTATTAAAATTACCTTGAAACTGTGAGTCTTTTTTTAAATATTTTTTATCTTTGATTACGTGTAGGTGTGTGTGTGGGGGGTGTACACGTGAATACAGATGCCAGCTGGAGGGCAGAAGTCAGAGGTTTCAGATACCCCCGAAGCTGCAGTTACAAGAGCTTGTGAGCCACCTGATGTGGGTGATGAGAACCTAGTTCAGGTCTTCTGCAAGAGCAATACATGCCCTTAACTGCTGAGCCAATTATCCAGCCTGAAATATCTTATTCTTTTTTACTTTTAAATTTTATCCATCATCATCATCATCTCTCTCCCCTCCCTCCAACACCGTGTGTGTGTGTGTGTGTGTGTGTGTGTGTGTGTGTGTGTGTGTGTACGCGTGTCCTGTTTAGGTCAGGAGACAACTTCGCGAGGCCAGTGCTCTCCTTTGACCGTCACTTAGATTCTGGGGCTTCACCTGCTGAGCCATCTTGCTGGCCCTAAACTATGTGGATATCTTGCTTCTTGTCCAACACAAATTCCTGCTGATGATCCCTGCTACAGTGCGTTATTACAATGAGGTAGCTTGGCGGCCATTCTCTAACACCATACTTCTCTCCACCTGAGGGGCTTTCCCCACTTTTGGCTATTTCTATCACTGTAAACTCAACATTTCTCACTTAATAGGTTATGGTCCATTGTTGCTCTATTTAAATGCCCAAGTTGTCCAGACTTAGCTAGTCAGAGCTGTCTCAAGCCAGAGAGCCCCGCCCCACTTTTTTAGCTTTCAGGAAGTCAATTTATTGACAGAAAAATAACCAGAGAAGTCCTCTGCACAGACAGTGACCACAGCGACCTTCCTTCCGGTGGGGGCTGTCAGGAGGTAACATCCTCAATCTGCCTGATCTTTCACCCAAGTGAGCAAGAACTCTGAGGATTGACAGGTCCTCAGTCCAGGAGTCATAGCCTTGTTTCCTCCTGTGGCCCCATTTGGTAGACAGAGCAGTGCCCAGTCCTTGAAGCCGGCATGATGGCATATGGGGAGGCCTCATCCTGGTCTTCATCTTCATTCCACGAGTCCCTCGTGGCAAATGGTTTCCTTTCCAGAAAGAACAGTGTCGTAGACAAAGGTCTCACCGAAAGAAGCAAAGATGTGAGGTGAGCCGTACCGAGTTCTCTCCTCCAGACACCTGAGCTCTGAGGTCGAAGAGCTATTCTTCCTCATTTGCCGTCACCTCGCAGGGTACCATTTTTTTTTTTCAAGTCATCTCGGGACTCTGCCACTGGAAAAAGAAGGCCAACCACACCTTTAAATGCATGATTGCACAACAGCATTGACCATTACCAAAACGAGATCAACTTCTCCGGGCATCAGGGTGCGGACGCTGAGGCCTTACTCCTTTGTCCTCCCGGGCTGAGGGTTTGGCCCAAATCTCTAGCCACGTGGGGTTCCCACATGCCATACAGGTCTACTGGATTCCTTCACTGGTTGAAAACCTACTATTTGTCAGGCATGGCCTGAGAGCTCTTTAAAAGGTAGGAAGATGTTCGTGTGTGGGGGGTGGGGGGTGGGGGGGAGGGATGAACAGGATAGACAACTCATGATTGTGTACTTTCTAGGACTGAGAGCATTAGCTCAGAGACCAAAATTTTAAACATTCCTTTTCTTATTGATAACTTTGATACTTACCTTATTCATTTGTTATGTGTCTGTATGCAAGTGCACACGTCACAGTAAGTAGGTGGAGTTCAGAGGACAGCTTCCATCGTGGAAGTGGTGGGGACCAAATGCCAGTTGTCAGAATTAGTGGCGAGCACCTTGGCTCACCTGCGAGTGGAGGCAAAGGGGAAGACCAGGGAGGGGTAAGCAGTGGCTGTGCCTCTAGGAATACAAACGTAGGGCTCACAGGCGTGAGATCATCCGGGCAAAGGGTGTAGATCGGAAAGGAGTCGACAGTGAACGGTGAAGTGAAGCAAGTTACACCTCCGTTGCTATTCTTGAGAGGTGTCACGTGAACGCATCTAGGACGAAGTCCCGGGGACTGAGAACCCCCGAACTCCTACTGTGGGCCCCTAAAGCAGGGCCCACTGGGGGCGGGGCCTCACTTGGGTGTGGGCGTGGCCTCGACGCTAGTCTGGCAGCTCTGGGGCCGGCCCGCGGCCGGGGCGATGACGTCAGTGCATGACTGGGTTTTTATGAATGAAAGGAATCCTGTGCGTGAGTAATTCCGGGAAGCTCGCCTTACAACTGCGCGCGGCTCCGGCCCCCTGCGCCGCCCGCCCCATAACAAAACTCTGAGCGGCCGGCGCTGCGCGAAGCCGGGTACCCAGTGAACTGCGGTCCCGATCCGAGAGGAGTGGGGCTCGAGGGCGACCTGGGACCGCCACCGCGACAGCTGCGGGGAGGACAGCTGCGACAAGCGCGCGCGGAGCGCCGGGCCTGGCGGAGAGCGGTAAGGACGCGTCAGGGACCGGGACCGCGCTAGGGCTGAACGCTCCGGGTCGCGCCTGGGCCGCGCGTGGGGCCGTGCTGTCGGCGCCCCTTGTACCTCTGCCCACCGAGGGGCCTCCGAGGGGCTGGCTGGGAGGCGGTGCGCGGGCCCCGGGAGGAAGCCGAGGCGGAGGCGGGGGCGGGGGCGGGGCGTACACGTACGTGACTCGGTGAGAACAGTTCTTGGAGCCGCGCCCAGCACCGTGTGTGCGCGGTTTGTTTACGTCCCCCGGTGGCGTGCCTGCGTGTGTGTTCTCTAGGGAGCGTCCTGGGTCCTGCGGGCTGAGTGCGCCCGGTTTACCTCGGGGTGTGTGTGTTTGTCTTTGGCTGCACGCGCACCCTGGATACTGACACTAGCCCGGTGTACCTTGAAGTGAGTGTCACACCGGTGTCCGCTGGAGCAAATGCGGAATAAGAACCCGAGTGAAGGAAGTGGCCCAGTCGATGGTAATACCAGGTCTGGATTTTTTTTTTCTTCTCCCTCTCCACCCTCCGCCATCCTCCCCCTTCCCACCAGACGGGACTGCCCGGCCCCAGTTGTCTCCGGAGTTTCCCCTGGATGGAGCCATGTGACATCAGTGTTTGTTTCTTGCCCAGCACGGGTGCCTGCAGCGTTAGGTAGAGCAGAGTGAGCCTCCTCCTGGCCACCTGGTGGACCTGGTAATGAAGTGCGTGGAAGTCCTTCCTTAACCCCAGGTTTTCTGGCTCAGTATGGACTGTTCATCACTGGACTGTCCTATTCCTCCTATCTCAGGAGAAATAGGGAAGGCCAGAAAGGCCATGGCAAAGATTGGGGAAGGCAAGGCTCCTAGGCTGCTCCGGTGGCTAGTGACTGGTCTGGGTTTCTTTCTTTCTTTCTTTCTTTCTTTCTTTCTTTCTTTTTAAAAAAATTATTTATTTATTTATTATGTATACAATATTCTGTCTGTGTATATGCTGCAGGCCAGAAGATGGCATCAGACCCCATTACAGATGGTTGTGAGCCACCATGTGGTTGCTGGGAATTGAACTCGGGACCTTTGGAAAAGGAGGCAATACTCTTAACCTCTGAGCCATCTCTCCAGCCCTGGTCTGGGTTTCTGAGGCCGCACTGGGTCCTGAAGGAGGGAGAGAGAGAGACTGATAAGCCAACGCGCCTGGTAGTTTCAGTTCTCAGGTGGGACTCGTTAGACTGGACCTGTATGTGGACTGCTGGACCCCAGGGCTAATTAAAGACTGGTACACCTAGAGGCCACCCCGGACCAGCAAGATCAGCAGGCAGTGTAATCCCTGTCTTCCTGCGGGAAGGGTTCATGTGGGAGGGGAGCGTTGCAAGAAAACACCTGCTGAGGCCAGCAACCTGAACGGTAGCTAGTTCTGGGAACCCCATGACCCGACTCAGACTTTTCCCCCCTTGCCCTGGAATCCAAGGAGGTGGCAACCAAGCTTGTTAGGGGGTGGAATCAATAATACTTTAACGTTGAGCCCAGTGAGTTCTGCTTCCACCTGTGAGGACTCCAGTGTCCTGGTCTGCGGCACGTCTGTCAGTTGTGAAGTGCAGCCTGTTTACCAGGGGAAACTGGGAAAGCAGAACCGACCCCAAGGCCTGCAGCTGGAGATGTCTGTAGAGTTGGTGGTGGGGGCGGGAGCTGTAGTCAGGACCACAGGATGTAGGTGGGTCCATCCTCAAGGCTGAAACATCAAGAAACATTCCCCAGTGGGGCTGGGGGTCAGTGGTGAGGGGAAGTGGCTAACTGGCTCACTGACAGATGGAAACTTAGCATTGAAAGATTCTATTTCCCCTTGAATCCCCAGAGGTCTACTAGGGCCCAGGATCCCTAGATAATGCACTTTTTTTTTTTTAATGAGCATTTTTCTTGCACGTATGTGTTTGTACCCTGTGTGTGCCTGGTGCCAGCAGAGGTCATAAGAGGGTCTTGGATCCCTTGGAATTGTAGTCACGGATGGTTGTGAGCCATCCTGTGAGTGCTGGGAACTAAATCTGGACCCTCCTCTGCGAGAGCAACAAGTGCTCTTAACCACTGAGCCATCTGTCCGCCTCAGTTTTTGATGGGAGGATTTATATACACTTGCTGGGGCAGGAAGGCCTGGTGAGACCAGTTCACCCGTGGCCGTGGTAGTGGGGGTGCTGCTGGCTCCTGTCTCCATGCACTAGGAAGCTCTGCTGACACTTAGCCTTGCATAGCGGCTGGACCACACACTTAGGGGTGCGGTAAACAGACCCTGGGACTGCCTTCTGGGAAACAAAGTAAAACAGCTCACTACAAAGTGGCCGCTGAGATAAGTGCCCTGAAGGGGAAGTAGCAACAGGGCTCCTGCTTAGCCAGGGCAATCATGGAAGGTTTCCCTGGGGAGGTGGCTAGGGAGTAGAGTCTAATGTTGCAGTGACTCTGGAACACAGAGGACAAGGGCTGTGGTTCCTTGTGGGGCTTTCAGGGCTCAGCACAGAGCCTGGCATACAGTAGGTGCTTCTTGGATATGTGGATAGCTAAAGAAATGGGCAATGGCTCCATGTCCTTGAGCTCAGTGACACAGATAGAAAGAGGACCACAGGTTCAGGAAACAGAAAGCAAGACGGTGGACGAGAGGAGTCTTGTAGGAATTCCCCAACCATGACCAGGTCCTTCAGGGTGCAGGTGGCTTCCTCCTTCAAACACTCGGAGCCTGTGTTCCTTTTGGCTAATAGTCATTAGGAAATCCAATCTGCTCATTTGTTGATTATTAGCAAGAAGAATTGCTGGGAGGCTGGAGGGAACAGGTTATCGGCCGGAGGCTCCTCTGTGGGCTGGGCAGCTGGTAGAATGGGCGCTGTGGTTTTGATCTTATTTTCCCGAAGACTTTAAAGTTCAGTTTTTTATTTATATAGGCGTTTGTGCCTCAGTGGAGTTTTGTGTTCCACACGTGTGCAGATGGCTATGGAGGTCAGAGGGTGTCAGATCCCTGGAACCGTAGTTACAGGCTGATATGATCCACTCCATGTGGCACCGAGGAGAGAACCTAGGTCCTCTGCCAGAGCAGCAAGTGCTCTTAACCACAGAGCCATTTCTCTAGCCCTATTTTTGTTTTGTTTCGTGATCCTGGGTCTTATGTAGCCTGAGGCAGCCTTGAACTTCTGGCCTTCTTTTTCTGCCTCTTGAGGGCTGCGCTCACCGTGTACGTGACCACACCCGACTAGTACAAGGTCTCGAAATCTGCCAAACATGGCCAAGTTTGCAGGTTCGTGTCTGTAGTGACCCCTTTGATGCTATTGGAGGTGGAGGTGGAGGCAAAGGAGGGGGTAAGGCAGTGGTCAGGCCACTGTGGTCTTGGTCTGGCTGGAAGAGGAAGTGGCCCCTAGCTGTGCAGGTGGAGGAGAAAGGAGGTCAGGGCTCATAGGCCGGCTGCTTGTGCGCTCATGCTTCTGCCTCCAGGAGGCCTTCCCTGGTTTCCTTTCCTTTCCTCCAATGTCTGCACCCTGCTGGAGGCTTTGGAGCTTCACGCTGGGCCAGAACCTGACAGTGTAAACTCATGACATTGCCATTGCTGGATGGTACCTTAGGTTCCAGGGAGGTTGGGCATGTTGGGAAATCCAGGCCCAGAGAAAGGGAGTGACAACCTGGAGTCACACAGTGAGAGTGTGGGTAGCAGCCTGTACTGCTCCGTTCTCCCAGTCTTGCGCCCTTCCAGGAGGGAGGAGGCGCCCCGTGCTCACTGCCAAGACCCAGGCAAACACATTTTTTCCCTCTGTCCTCACCAAGTAAGCAGTGTGGCTCAGCAGCCAGAGAGGAGCCCATGCCAGTGGGTGGGCCGTCTGCAGGATGTCTCGGGTGTACAGCGAGGGGCCAGAGACAGGGACAGGAAGGCCAAGGCCCCTGGCTGGTCAGCCGTCATGTCCCCGAGAATGAGCTCACTCCTGAGTCTCCAAAGAATACTAGGAACCTCAGACGTGGAGTTGGCCCCGCTGGCTTCCCCAGGAAGAAGAAAAGTCTTGAGGGTGGGGTCCCTGGGTCAGGCAGGCTGGTGGCAGTGGAGTCTCCTTGCCTTGTGTCCTAGAAACTGGGGCCTGCTGCTAGAAGCCAAAAGTCAAAGGCAGTGGGAAAATCTCTCCCCCTTCTCATGTTGGGACAGTCCCTCTGTGACTGGCTGACTGCTGAGCTAGGACATTCCTGGGCAAATCTGAGCCTCCATGGACTTTGAGGATGCCACTGAGGGGCCTAAGGCTAGAATGCGGGTTGGCGGGATGTAGGAGGAGGGGCGGGTCCCAGCCTTCCTAGCATACACTGTCTTCAAGGGAATGGCTGCAGTCCCACCTCTTGGGGGGCTGGCTGTGCCGTGAAAGAAGGTTCAGCAGGAAAGCTGAGGTTTGGGGTGTTTGGGGATTTTTTTTTTTTTTTTTTTTTGAGACAGGGTTTCTTTGTTGTAACTTTGGCTATCCTGGAACTCTCTCTGGAACGCAAAGATCCACCTGCCTCTGCCTTCCAAGTGCTGGGGTTAAAGGCATGCGCCACCTGAGGTTTTGAAAGCTTCAGGGGCTGTTTCATCTCCCTGGAAATAAGTGCCTGGCTAGAGTGATCTGTGCCCAGCCAACCCAGTCCAGCCCTGACTTGATCTAAGACGCAAGAAGACCAGGAAAGATCGTGAGGGCTATACTGCCAAGGTTCTGGGTCCGAACGGCGCACTCAGCACCCTGCAGGTCCTTAGTTAACTTGTGCAGGGAGAGGCCCCCTTCTTCCACCAGGTCCCTTGACTAAACAACTATCCCCCACCAGTCCAGCTCCTCACAGCTGGCAAAAAGGCCTGGGTATCTGGTGTAACTTGAATATCCCATCCCTGGCTGACCTTACCCAGGTCCAGGCACAGCACAGGTGGAGTGGCTTCCTCCTCACAGATGTGAAGAAACAGGGCTCATAGAAGGAGCTGTACCGAGGGCATACTGCGGAGGTGTCGCGCTCAGTACAGCTTCAGTCCTGGGCTCTGCCCTGGGTAGCTGTGACCCCTCTGTCATCGTCTTGGGGCATTATTTGACAGTGTTATCAGGAAGACTGTGAAAATGATGGTCGGAAGGGACCAGAGGTCAGTCCTGAGCCAGGTGGTGGTGGCGCATACCTTTAATCCCAGCACTCAGGAGGCAGAGGCAGGTGGATTTCTGTGAGTTCGAGGCCAGCCTGGTCTACAGAATGAGTTCCAGGACAGCCAAGGCTACACGGAGAAATCCTGTCTCAAAAAAATGAAGAGGGGGGGCCGGGCGGTGGTGGTGCACGCCTTTAATCCCAGCACTCGGGAGGCAGAGGCAGGTGGATCTCTGTGAGTTCGAGACCAGCCTGGTCTACAGAGCTAGTTCCAGGACAGGATCCAAAGCCACAGAGAAACCCTGTCTCGAAAAACCAAAAAAAAATGAAGAGGGGAAAAAAAAGTCAGGCAGAATTCTGCCTGGATTGCAGACAGGCTGCGGTGTGGCTTCTAGCAAATGAGGTGCCTCTCTGGGTCACTACTTCCTCTTGGGGTGGTCTCTAGGGCCTTTCCTCATGCAGTTCTGTGGTGACCCTGGCTGGCTGTGCTGACTCAGAACAAGCCCCCAGAGCTGACTGCAGCCCTGACACCTGGCCAGGCTAAGCAATTTTACTAAGCTGCCAGACCACCTCTGCCCCTGTGTATGACAAGTTTCCACTAAAACCATGGAAGGAAACTGTCCCACTCTACAGATGGGATAGTAGAGACCAGAGATGTGAAGTAGTTCTCCCCAGGCTGCACAGCCTGGAGAAAACATGGACAGGACTCAAACTCTGGGGCTTGCCTCTCAGCCAGTGCCACCCCTTTCCATTTCCCAAGCCCTTATCTGGGCCAGAGGTTACCTGGGTGGGGTCCCTATGCTTGCTCCGACTCTCCTGGCACCTGTGACATCTGTCCCACAAGACGGAAGACAAGGAGAAGAACGTAGAGGCCAACGAGCACGTTCCACTCACCCTATAGTTCCCCTAAGCTCATCTTGGAACTTGGCTAGGACACTGACCAGCTGGGTGACCATGACAGAAACCCCACCCACCCACACCACCGCCTGCTCCCTGCCCCTGTTGGGCCTGGGCAGGGCAGCCTCAAACACCCGGGGCCGACTCAGCTGTCTAGTGTAGGGACAACAAGTAAAGGGATGGTCACACCACTGGGGAAGAAAAGCAAGGGCAAGACGGGCTGGGGGGCAGGGGGCACCCAGCAAGGCCTATGGGTCAGGGAGGGCTTCCTACCCTAGAGACAGAGTAAGCAGGAACCTGGCAGACAGACTGAGGGGAAAGCGGAGGGGCAGCAGGGGGTGGGGTGATAGGAACTGAGCGATTCTTCCAGGCTGGAGGCAGACTAGTGGGAAGCAGGGTGGGGCTGGGCACAGGGCCTGCCGCCTGGAGCACTACATGGTGCCTGGACTCTTGTCTTCTGGCCAGTAGGACCCACAGGAGGTGCCATGTAGCCATGGCATGTCAGATTTTCTTATTGAATAGGTATCAGTCCACCATAGTGTGTGGCTCAGGCAGGGAACTGTTTAAAACACACGCCACTTCAGATATGATGGCCACACCTATAACCCCAGATGATGGCCCACACCTGTAATCTCAGAGATGAAGGCCCACACCTGTAATCCCAGAGATGATGGCCCACACCTGTAATCCCAGAGATGATGGCCCACACCTGTAATCCCAGAGATGATGGCCCACACCTATTAAGCCAGGACTTTGGTAACTGAGGCTGGAGGATTGCAAATTCTATTCTGTCCTGTGAAGTCAAGGAGACCCACTCTCCAGAATCAGCACAGGGCATCTAGAACTGCCCAAGTCCTGGTCTGGGCCCCAAGTGCAGCTTCCAGCTACATCAAAAGGGGCACGGTGGTTTTTTGTTGTGTAGAGATAAGGTCTTGCTTGAATGTGGTGTGTAGCCGAGGATGGAATAAAAATTGTGATCTTCCTGCTTCAGCCTCCCCAGCCCTGGGGTTGCAGGGTGTCGTGCCTGACCTAGCGGTTTTGTTAGTCTTGGTTCTCTTTTATTTGAGGCAGGGTCTCACGTAGCCCAGGCTGGCTTTGAATCCATGATCTAACAGGATGACCTGAACTTCTGACCCTCCTGTCTCTTTCTTGATGCCAGGATCCCTGCCCTGTGCTTCTGCTCCCCTGCAGGCCCCATAAGACCCTCCTAGCCTTGGGATCACAGTAGCTGTGTCAGTCAAAACAGTGTCTTGAATGGGCAACTTCCCTTTCCTGCCCCACTCCTTCCTGCTGTCTGAGCTGCTCCACTGACCCCTAACCTAGTGGGAGTTTCTCAGAAGCTCCAGACTGTCCCCACCAAGGCCTGAGTCACAACTGAGAATTCCACAGTTGCCACACGAGCATCTTCTCTGGCCAGACCCTGTGCTAAGCTGGGGTAAACTGTAGAGTCAGCAAGGATCCTGCTGTCGGAGAGGGGACATCCTTACAGGGCAGACACTGAGCAAGATGCGGCATGTGTGTGAGGGTGGTGAAGACTCAGTGTGAGATGTGTGTGCATGTGGGTGTTAGCATGCAGGATGCAAGTGTGTGTGGAGGTCAGAGGTTGGCGCTGAGTATCCTTGATTATGTGCAGACGTACGTGAACTCAGAGCTCCTGGTTCAGCTAGCCCAGCTAGCCAGTTAGTTCCGGGAGTCCTGTCTGTAGCCTCCTCCTATCCTGGGATTACAGGTGGGGTACCACACTCACCTTGCATTTACATGGCTTTCGGGGATCCAAAACTCTGGGCCTCTCACTTGCCCTTTTAAATTTTTGACATTTATTTTTATTTCCTGTGCATGAATGTTTTGTCTACATGCATGTCTGTACACCATGTATTCAATCCCCAATTCAAAAAGAAAGGAAAAGAGTTGGCGAGATGGCTGTGGCTAAGAGCACTTGTTTAACAGGGTTTCATGCAACTCCAGCTGGCCTCAAACTCCACCACACCAGCCTCCCCCAAGTTTCTGTTCACCTGTCTCCCCAGTGCCAGATACGTGGCAGATTGTAGCTAATCAGGAAATGGTCACTGAAGGAATGTGAGTCTTGCAGGCCCCGGGGAAGGCTCTGGGGACCACTGGGCTCATCACAGGCTAGAGGAGGATAGCTGCTATCCCTTCTAGAGCCATGGCGAGTTAGTGACTGGCAGACCCCAGGCAGTTTGGGAAATCTTCCCAAAATATGACCTTGGCCAAGTGCTGCTGGGGAGCACACTTGGGCGCTGTATCTTGATGAGGTACAGGATGAATTTTGGAGATTCACTGACCTGCACACATTTGGGCACATTTCTGTAGACAGCCTGTAACCCCAGCACTCAAGAGGCAGAGGCAGGAGAATAGGGAGTTTGAGGCCAGCCTTGGCTACATGAGATTGCTCTGTGGTTAAAGGAGTTTGCTGCCAAGCCTAGGATCTTAAATGGATGCCCTAGAACCCACAGGTGGAAGGAGAAAACTGACTCCTACAAATTATCCTCTGACCTCCACACGACTGTCAGGGCTCTGGTGGACCCAGCTAACATACAACTGAAACAAACCAAAGCATGCATGTCCTGGCCCCATGCAGGAGAATGGCCCATGGGAGGAGTGTCCACTCCCTCAGTTCACGTCTGTCAAGTGCTTAGTGTGTGCAGGCACTGACCTTGGTGTGGTAAGGCTGGGGGGGGGGCGGGAGGGAGGGACAAGCCATTAACTGGGATGGACACTGGCATTTGGCAAAGACCTAGATAATGAGGAGTCACTACAGGGAGCTGGAGTCAAGGGAGGCAGGACTAAATGCTGACCTAGGAGCCTTGAAAGCTAGGCTATGTGTTAGTATTCAGGCATCTGTACTGGCCTGCCCTTGGGGTCCTGACGGGCTATGTCTTCAGGTGCAGCCACTAATAGCACCTCCTGTGCACATCTGCTACATTCCCTGCCTCTTTCTCTTCTGCCACTCTTGTCCACACCGACCTGTCCCTGTCCCTTCTCTCTCCTCTTCCAATAAACCCGCGTGAAGTAAAACGTGAACAAACCAATGAAATGACCTTGAACTTCTCTCTCCCCCAGGCCTCCAGCCCAGAGGGCACCTTCTGCAAAAATGTCGGTGGATCCCTTATCCAGCAAAGCCCTGAAGGTGAGTTAGCTTCTGTGGACCACACTAGCTCCCGTGGGCTCTCTCTGCTGCTGCTGCTCTTGGTACAGCAGAGTTGTCCCAATTCCCCTTTCCTTCCTGGAAGCCCCAAAGGGGACTAAGCAGCTACAGGGCCAGAGGGGCAGGCAGGTCACTTCCCACTATGCCAGCTTCCCCATGTGTAAAGGGACTTTCCAGGCTGCGTTTCTCAGCGGGGGTCCAGGACTTGACTTGGTTAGTTTGAGCCCTGGGTGGCCTCCTGTGTGCTAATGCCAGGTCCCAGTCACCTTCAAGGTCTTGGCTCAAGTCCAGTAACCGCCAAAACGGGGAAGGAGGGCGCACTGGGAAGTGGGGCGGCATCCCCAGCACGGGTTGCGTGCCTCTGTTTCCCCAGGTGAAGCGCGAGCTGAGCGAGAACACGCCGCACCTCTCGGATGAGGCGCTGATGGGGTTGTCGGTGCGCGAGCTGAACCGGAACCTGCGCGGTCTGTCGGCAGAGGAGGTGACACGGCTGAAGCAGCGGCGTCGCACACTCAAGAACCGCGGCTATGCGGCCAGCTGCCGTGTGAAGCGAGTGTGCCAGAAGGAGGAGCTGCAGAAGCAGAAGTCCGAGCTGGAGCGTGAGGTGGACAAGCTGGCGCGCGAGAACGCCGCCATGCGCCTGGAGCTCGACGCGCTGCGCGGCAAGTGTGAGGCGCTGCAGGGCTTCGCCCGCTCGGTGGCCGCCGCCCGTGGGCCCCCGGCACTGGTGGCACCCGCTAGCGTCATCACCATCGTCAAATCGGTGCCAGGCCCTGCCCCCGCTCCTGACCCTGCCCCCTGCTCTTAGTACCCACCCCTTCCCCTCTTACCCCCCCCCCCCCCC